GCACAGAAAAACAGAGCCCGGGTGGCCACACAGTTTGTTTGCTTGTCCTCCCAAGTACTGAAGGCTTTACACGATGAGTCTGGACATCTCGGGGTCAAACGCACTGTTGAACTGATAAAAGATAGGTTCTATTGGCCTAAGATGGTCCGTGACATCACAGAGTACGTCAAAAGTTGTGGCCGATGTATAACCCGCAAAATCCAGCCACACCGTGCTGCACCGCTGAACCAAATCACAAGTACCGGCCCCCTTCCCTTGTTCCCAGTAGCCAGGGTCCTTGTTGAAAAGTTCTTTGTGCACTACGGCTTACCAGCTTGAATCCACTCGGACCAGGGGAGGGCTTTCGAAAGCCATCTAATCAAGGAACTTTTGCAAGTGTTGGGCATAAAGAAATCAAGAACGACTCCCTATCACGCTCTGGCTGTGATCCACAGCCAGAGCGTTTCAACCCCACGTTGTTGTCCACGCTGGGCACACTCAACCCCTGTGAAAAGCAGAAATGGAGTCAACATATCAGTTTGCTTGTCCACGCCTACAACTGTACACGTAACGATGCGACCGGTTACTCGCCATATTACTTGATGTTTGGCCGCCAGGCTCGGTTGCCTGTTGACCTCTGTTTTGGGACGTCTCCTGACGGTTAAGACAGCCAAACCTACCTGCAGTACGTTGAAAACCTCAAAGCAGAATTGCAGCAACCATACGAGTTGGCACAAGAAGTGGCAGACAAAACGCATCAGCGAAACAAGACATTATGACACAAGAGTGAGAAAGTGTTTGAGCCAGGGGATCGTGTTCTCATCAGAGCAACAGGGGTGCCTGGAAAGAACAAGCTGGGTGACAAGTGGTTGTCAAACCCTTATGTGGTGCTCGAAAAGCTGTCCAATCTTCCAGTGTACAGAGTAAAGCCAGAAACGGGCTGAGTCATTGTCAAGACTCTCCACAGAGACCACTTGCTGCCTATTGGTCACCTAGTTCGGTTCCCAACAGGCCCTGACAAGAGAGACACACCGCAGAGGCCATCACCTAGGTCCTCTCAAAACAAAACAAAACAAAACAAAGGTGACTGAACTGGACAAGGAAGAAGAGATGTTAGACCTAGCAGAAGATGAAGACTGGTATCAGTCCACTGCCCAAAGGGAATCCATTTCCAAAACTCTAGACCTCATCGCTGATCATTTCAGTCAAAACCCACCATATCAAGCCGAAGACCAGAGCCTACCTTCACAAGCTTGTCCATCCGAGCCAGGACTTGCTCAAAGCCCTTCTGATGTGGTAAGGGACCCAGAACCAGAGGATTTTCTGTAGCTGCCCAAAGACCCTGTGGTGGACACAGGTCTGTAAGAGGGTGAGCTCCCCCCTGCTAGTCAGTCAGAGAGTGATGCAGAGCCAGTCTATGAACGTAGGCCCCGCCGAGAGATCAAGCCTGTCGTCCGTTTAAATTATGACAAGCCTGGGCACTCTACTGACAAGCCTATTGTGATGTTCCACCGTGGGTTGAGGATCACCATACGCCGAGATCCTGCCCCACAGTGCCTCCTCTAGTTTCGATGGCTCTTGCTACGAATGGGGTTAAGGGATTAAGTCATTGAACCATTTTAGGTAAAGATAGTCTTTTCGTGACTTTGATGTAGTCCGATGAGGGCATCTGGACTTTTAGAGGGGGGAGGATGTAGCCCCTGATTTGTTTGTGTGCGCCTATTAGGTAGTTCCGCCAGTCCGGCACGGTTAATAGCACAGGTGGTGATAATTGGCCACGACTGGTAGAGGAGCGGACAAGTGGGCGTGGTAGGAGAGAGGAAATGTTTGTTAGCCACCCGCCGCTCGTGCAGGTGGAGGTGTGCTCTCTCCCCGTTACGACTTCGTGTTGTTGACTGGTTTTCCACGCACCAAGTAGACTGTGACGACTGGTCACGTCAGACCCATTTAAAAAAAAAAAAAAAAAAAAAAACTCTTTCTTGATCATTCGATCCAACGATTGAGGACTGAGCTGAATACGTCGGATCGCAATTCCCTGTCACTGAGGACATCATGGGAGGAAATAATGCTGTACTCGGTGAGGACAGCATGGGACTACTTTTTTCCTTCTCGCACTCTCGAGTCGGTTTGGCTCCACAATTCCTGCTTCCCCCCCACAAGGTGTAAGTGGCCACTGCAAACAGACGGTAACCTGTGGAGGGGGGTGAGTACACCACTCCACTAGGGTTTCGCTGGAGGACGCAATGTCCTAGCCACGGCCCGCTGGTGACATCACTGTAATATTTCGGTTTGTTTGTCTAGGGGGATTACTTATAGGTGGGGTTTATTTTACGGTTGTAGTTAATGTTTATTGTTTTCCTACAGGTTAATTAGCCGGTTGCGCATTCTAGTGGTTTAGAGTGTAAGCAGGAGAACTAAAACACCGTGCACCGTTGAACAGGGATTACACCATGGTGAAGGGCCCCAGGCTGCCAGATCAGAGGAGGAGGTCATACCAGAGATTGGGAGGCAAGCCCCAAGGAATGCAGATGATGAGATTGGGAGGCCAGCCCCAAAGAATGGAATGCTGAGCGAGGCAGCAACTGCCCTGAGAGCTAAGATCATGGCAAAAAAGGAAGGCTGGGCAACCTAGAAACCAATTACAACGGCTATGTGAAGTACCACCTGAAAGTCCCATGGAAACTGTGAATGCAGCACTGAGGGCGATCCCTACCGTTACGATCACAGAAACCAATGAGCTGATATATGCTTCAGCATCAGTGATCCTAGAGATGCTTGACTATAAGAGCAACCATGGGAGCCATGAGATACGTTACTCACCATGGAAAAGACGGTTGTTGGCTAAGATCAAGGCGGCTCGGAAAGATGTGAGTGAATTGGCGGAGGCCCAGAGAGGTGTGATGAAAAGGCCGATACCTGAGAGGTACATCCAGATGACCATACCTGAAGCACTCAAAACTGCCAAACAAAGGCTCCAAGCCTTGTACAGTCACCTAAAGAGGTACACGAAAGAGAATGAGGCCAGCCCGCTAAACAAGCTGTTCTCAACACAACCTGTGAAAGTGTATATAAAGGCATATGGAAGAAGGAGGTCGCACATAAAAGCAGTGCACAATGGCTGGTAATTCTGGGAGAGGAGCACAGCAACCTCCCTGAACAGAACCCAGTTGCCATAACAGTGGCAGGCATACAGGAAAGAGTCTCAGATATGAAAAATTGGACAGCACCAGGCCCGGACATGGTCCACACCTACTGGCTAAAGAAACTCACAGCACTCCATGAGCACCGAGCAACACAAATGAACCTGTTGCTGAGGGATGGGACTCACCCAGGATGGCTAACCGAAGGGCAAACGATCTTGATCATGAAGGATCCCTCAAAGGGTGCAATCCCATCCAACTATCAGCCAATAACCTGTCTCTCCACAACATGGAAGCTCATGTCAGGCATCATTGCGGCTAAGATAAGTGGACGCATGGATCAGTACATGAGCGAAGCACAGAACGGCATTGCTAGAGATAACAGGGGAGCCAAACATCAGCTCCTGGTTGACAGAACAGTCGCACAAGACTGCAGGTCCCGACATACCAACCTGTGCACAGCCTGGATTGATTACAAGAAAGTCTACGACTCGATGCCACATACATGGATCACTGAATACTTGGAGTTGTATAAGGTGAACAGGACCCTAAGAGCCTTTGTTGCGAACTCGATGAAGATGTGGAAAACCACACTTGAAGCCAATGGCAAGCCACTTACCCAAATGTCCATCAAATGTGGCACATACCAAGGTGATGCACTCTCCCCACTGCTGTTCTGCATAGGACTGAACCCCCTAAGCCAAGTAATCGCCAAGACTGGGTCTGGATACCGCCTCAGAAATGGAGCTTTGATCAGTCACCTCCTCTACATGGATGACATAAAGCTGTATGCTTAGAGTGAAAGGGACATTCAAATTGCCAAATAAATAAAACGGAAGTAATGCAAGTTATTTTTTCTTCCTGTGCGGCCCGGTGCCAAATGAACCAAGGACCGGTACCGGTCCGCAACCCGGGGGTTGGGGACCACTGGTGTACAGTATTGTTTGATGTTATAATTACCCTTTTGAGGTGAGTCAATTTCACAGAATTGTGAATAATTGGATAAATATTATTCGCAGGGTTTTACATTTTCAAAATCCTAAAATGATTTGTAGAGGCCTCTCACATGGACTATGGAAAACAACATTCAAAACAGAATTCCACTTTAAAAAAAATTATTATTACTGTACACTATGGAGGCCTAATCTCTATTTCGTGTATGGACATTGATAAAACAAGAAGCTACTAAGACTTAGGTGGAGAACTTTATTTAAACGTTACATATATTGTAAATCACTGTGACTGAAATACCATTTGGGAGAATACGTGTGATAAACTATGAGAATTACACATGACAAGAAGATCATTGTGTAACCCTCAGAACAACCACTGGCCATGTTTTGATGAATTCTTACAGTTTTTGTTACATATGCGGTTAAAGCTGTTGCCTTCTCAACAAATTGTGTGAATTTAGCACGAATAAAAGAAAATGTTGAAAAAAAGCTTAGCCAAGCTACACATATATGTCAACTGTTTGTTGAGGTTTGAAGTTCAAAAGCCGCTATTTTGCATTGTCATTATGCGGTATTGTAGGCCTGCCTTTATCTGCACTCAAGCCATCACCATATATGCTGCTGAGAAGTTGTTTTCCAGGCAACGGGTCTAGTAATCATGAAGACTCCAACCACATGACAGTCTACATGCGCTCTCGCCGAACACTAATGGTACACGAATATCGAGGGAAAAAAAATGTTCACTTTAACGACCAAATGAATCCCATTCATGGACTTAATTTCGCATTTTCTTCCATTCGTAAGCCTGCAACGCAACTGCAGACAGCAAGATGCAGCACGATGCATTTTTCAACCTTGGACCCCCACCCTCTTACTGTTCACATGATAGAGGCACTCAGACTTTGTCATTGTGTCAGTGCACACTTACCAGAATCCAAGCACAGCAAAGAGAGCACACAGGCTCATTGCATGCACGGCCCTTGCAAACAAAAGCTTCATTTACGACCCGATTCGTTTCCAAGGAAAACAAGAGGGAAATTGGAGCTGTTTGTCGGGAGGTCTCTTCTAAATTCAATAGATTCGGGTTAAATATTGCGTTAGCGTGATGAGCAAGGTACGACCATGATCCGTATGGAGGAGGAGCTGGAGGAGGAGGGGGAGGCGGAGGAGGAGGTTGAGGAAGAGGAGGAGGAGGGAGGGAGGAATGAGCAAGGAGTGAGTAAAGATGTTGCCGGGGGCTGCTCCAGCTTCTGTCCTCCATTTTCTGTGCTCGTTGCTGCTGGGCTCTCATCTAACATTGAGCCATTTAAACAATGCCTGTTAATATCACCAATTGTTTTGTTTTATACAAGGGGGAAAATGTTTTCGTTCAAATGCAACATGTAGCCTGTGTTCATATTTTCCATGTCAGTCATTTAGTCCATAAATTAGATTCGTCACTTTAAGCAAGCTACCGGTACTCAAATTAGTATAAGTCATGATTAATATACATCTAGCTAAGCTGTTAACAAAACAAGCCTGACTTCATTTAGTTATACTTTTTGAGCAGTTTACCAATATGGCAATTTGTATTTCAACAATTGTGTGGTGAAGGGAGATGCATTTGGGGAGGTTTGATGCATTCACGAAAGGTACTCATCAATATTGACAAATATCTAACAAGTTGCAATTCCCAAATTTGTTTCCATCTGCAGTGGGATTTAAAGCTTGTTCCTCTTGGTCCAAAGCCAAGAAGTACTGTTCATTTTAAAGATCATCTATTCAGCCAGTGAAAGTACACTGTAAAATCCAAGTTTTTGGTCTCATAAATTATATCTACTAAATAACATCTACAGGTTTTATTAGGCAACTTAAAATAATTGTGTAAATCTTCAAAACATCAAGAGTAACATTTACTTCACTCAACATTCACTCATAATATATACACAATTAATAGACATGACGAATAAAACAAAAAACTCTTAAGTATATTTGACTAAAATGGAATCTAGATTGTCTGTGCATGCTCATTGATCAACACGCGAAAGCAGCATGCGTCAGTCACTTCAGCCAATCAAAGGAACAGGAGCATCCAGCCAGTCCTTACAGTCGGACGACTTGTTGGAGAGAAACACACTTTATTCAGGTAAGTGTCATCCATGTCACGTTGCGTACAAGGCAGGAAAAAAGAACTGCTTCGTACGCAACAGAGCGAACGAGAATAAGTGGATCCCCGAAGTAGCAGACTCTGACAAGGCCTTCGTCTCTAAAATAATATTTATTAAAAACGAAAACTCCGTCTAATGGAAAACAGAAAACGCTGATCTAAACGAGAACCAGGAAATAATGTAACGCGAAAAAACAAAGCGCTTGCAAAAAACGGCAAGGGGAAAGATAAGACAATTAACTATACAATGACAATAAAGGCGATTCTGATTCTGATTCTAGGTCAAGTATGCGTTCTTAAATAATCCCAATGGGATGACGAAAGTGTAGCAAACAACAATTAAATACGAATAAGGTTTACGAGCATGGGCAATAACAGTGGCGCGGCATGCAATACTCCGGCAATGAGTCGGAAGCCGGAGTGCTTAGATATAGCAGGTGTAATCATTAACAAATAGGCAGCAGGTATGCAGGCAGCAGAATGAACGCCTGCCACCTGCTGCCAAATACGGAACATAACAGTACCCCCCTCAACGGACGCCTCCCGGCGGCCTACCCGGTTTAGACGGGTGAGAAGCGTGGAAATCCCGCAGTAGGGACGGATCCAAGATCCAGGAGCGGGGGACCCATTGCCGATCCTCCGGCCCATAGCCCTCCCAGTCGACCAGATACTGGAACCCCTTACCCCTGCGCCGAGAGTCCAGGATGGTCCGCACAGTGTACACAGGGTCACCATTGACGATCCGCGGAGGAGGAGGCGGAGTGGGAGAAGGAGCCAAGAGACTGGTCGCCACCGGCTTGATCAGGGAGACGTGGAACACGGGGTGAACCTTCATGGTGGCTGGCAACCGGAGCTTGACTGCGACGGGGCTGATGATGGAGTCCACCACAAACAGTCCGGTGAAACGCGGCCCCAACTTGGCAGATGTGCCGGCCAAGCGCAGGTCCCTTGTAGCTAGCCACGGTCTCCCTCCACACGTGGTGGGCCCGCTTGAGGTGGCACTGCACTGATGGAACCTCGATCTGCCCCTCCTGGGACGGGAACAGCGGCGGTTGATACCCGTAGGCCGTCATGAAGGGGGACCGCCCAGTGGCAGAAGAGACGAGGGTGTTGTGTGCATATTCCACCCAAGGTAAGTGGTCAGCCCAGGACGAGGGACGGTGGAGACACACACAACGAAGGACCGCACCCAGATCCTGGTTAGCGCGCTCCGCCTGCCCATTAGACTGCGGGTGGTATCCCGACGTCAAACTCGCCGTGGCCCCCAGGGACCGGCAGAACCGCTTCCACACCCTGGATACGAACTGGGGACCCCGGTCAGATGCAATGTCCAGAGGAATGCCATGGAGACGGAAAACATGCTTGACGAGGAGGTTGGCAGTCTCCAACGCCGACGGCAACTTGGACAGCGGAATGAAGTGGGCTGATTTAGAGAAACGGTCTACAATGGTGAGAATGACGGACCGCCCACGGGATGGAGGAAGAGCCGTGACAAAGTCCAGGGAGCTGTGGGACCAGGGTCGAGGAGGAATGGGTAATGGCTGGAGCAAACCGGCCAGAGGACGATGTGAGGCCTTGCCGCAGGCGCAGGCGGAGCAGGCGTTAACGTATTCCACGACATCCTTCCGTAGCTCCGGCCACCAGAACCGCTGGGAGATGAGATGTAGAGTCCGGCTCACCCCGGGATGGCAGGCTACCTTGGATCTGTGCCCCCACTGCAACACCTCCGAACGCAGCGGTGGGGGCACAAACAGCTTCCCTGCGGGACAATCAGCCGGGACTTGGACCTCACCTTGAGCCTCCTGAATCCTCCGCTCGATCTCCCACCTTAACGCCCCCAGCATGCAATGGTCTGGAAGAATGGCCTTTGGGGTCCGGTCCCTTTCCGCGGGATCGTGGAGACGGGAGAGGGCGTCAGGGTTGGGGTTCTTGGAGCCAGGCTTGGTGTTCTTGGAGCCGGGACAATATGTGAGGGTGAAATTAAACCGGGTCAACAGAAGTGCCCACCGGGCCTGTCGTGAATTCAGTCTCTTTGCGGAGCGAATGTACTCCAGGTTCTTATGGTCTGTGTAGACAGTAAATGGATCCTTAGTCCCCTCGAGCCAGTGACGCCATTCTTGTAGGGCTGCAACGACAGCCAGCAGTTCTCGGTTTCCCACGTCGTAGTTCGACTCGGTGGCACTGAGTCGACGAGAGAAAAAGGCGCAGGGGGGCAATTTCTGGTCGACCGGAGAACGCTGGGACAAAACTGCCCCCACTCCTGAATCCGAGGCGTCCACCTCTACAATAAAAGGGTGGTCAGGATTAGGATGTTGCAGCACAGGTGGGTTCGTGAATGCTCTTTTCAAGTTTGCGAATGCTGAGTCCGCCTCCGAGTCCCATTTGAATGGGATCTTAATAGACGTCAACCGGGTTAACGGAAGAGCCTTTTGGCTATAGTTGCGAATAAATCTCCTATAAAAATTTGCAAACCCCAAGAAACGTAGGTCCTTAGGGCTAGTAGGTGTTGGCCAATCCACCACCGCCTTAGTTTTAATGGGGTCGGCTCTCAGCTTACCCTGCTCGATGATAAACCCCAGGAAAGAGATGGTTTGTACATGAAACTCACATTTTTCTGCCTTGACGAAAAGCCTATTCTCTAATAACCGCTGTAAAACGAGCCTGACGTGCTGTTTGTGCTCCTGTAATGACCGGGAGAAAATCAAAATATCATCAAGATAAACAAAACAAAATACATTCAGTATGCCTCTCTCGTCGTTGACCAGACTTTGGAAGACAGCAGGAGCATTAGTCAACCCGAAAGGCAAGACTAGATACTCAAAGTGGCCTAATGGAGTTTTGAAAGCTGTCTTCCATTCATCTCCTTCCCGCACGCGAACCAGATGGTACGCACTACGCAAGTCTAATTTTGAAAAAATGGTGGCCGATTGTAAAGGAGCGAAGGCGGAGTCTAACAACGGCAGTGGGTACTTATTTTTGATGGTAATGTCATTGAGCCCACGATAGTCAACACACGGCCGCAACGACTTGTCCTTCTTCTCCACGAAGAAGAATCCGGCACCTAGCGGTGAACGCGACGGTCTGATAAGACCTGCAGCGAGCGAGCTGTTAATATAGTCCCGCATTCAGGGGAATCGTTACCGACCCGCTCGCGCCCCCCTACGGCTGATCGCAAACAATGCTCATAACAAAATGGGCTCCAAATCTCTATTGCCGGACGCTCCCATGAAATAATGGGGTTGTGTGTCTTGAGCCAGGGTAAGCCGAGGATAACCGGAACAGTTCGGGAATGCATCAAATAAAACCGTCTGTGTTCGACGTGATTCCCAGATACCTTGAGCGTCAGTGGTTCTGTGATTTGTGTCACTACCGCCAGAAGGCGCCCATCGAGATCATGAACACGCTTCTTTTCGGCTAGCTCCTCGATAACACAGCCTATCTGATAAGACCTGCAGCGGAGTGCTTAGATATAGCAGGTGTAATTATTAACAAATAGGCAGCAGGTATGCAGGCAGCAGAATGAACGCCTGCCACCAGCTGCCAAATACGGAACATGACAGTCCACGGTGTCACCCCTCCCTTTTGTTTTGTTCCTTTTTTCAGTGTGGGCTGGGCGCCTTGCTAATTGGTGCACCTGCCTCCCTTACACACGTCCGAGTATTCAGCTCATCAGCCACTTGCAGCATAAAAGCTAGCCGGAACAGCCACCCATTGCCAGTTCATCAGTGATCTTTCCTGCCACACTCGCTTCTGCCAAGCCATTAAACTCCTACACACTGCACTCATTGAATTTGTCACTTTGACTTCCATTCAGTTCCTGCCACCTCGACCTGTCCCAAATAAATCCTTCTGAGTTCATTGTGTCTGCGTGTGGGTCCTCTCCAGATAATCTTTGCTCCACCCTCAGTCCAATGGTCAGACGGAGAGGGCTAATCAGGTGCTGGAGACCTCCCTCCGCTGCATGGCTGAAAAGGACCCCTCTACATGGGCATCACATTTGGCATGGGTGGAATATGCTTACAACAGCCTTACCAGCTCAGCGACTGTTGTCTCTCCCTTTGAGGCCTCTTTGGGCTATCAACCCCCCCTTTTGACCTCCCAGATAGTAGACAGATACCCTCAGTCCAAGAGTACATTGGCCAGTGTCAAAGGGTTTGGCAAAACACCCGCCAGGCCCTGGAAAGCACCCAACGGTCTGCCCAATCATCTGCTAATAGACGCAGGTTCCCAGCCCCTCTGTACCAGCCTGGCCAGGAGGTTTGGTTGGCCATGAGGAACATTCCGTTGCTCACAGAATCCTGCAAACTTGCCCCCCGTTACATTGGACCCTTTGTAATAGAAAAACTAATCAATCCCTCAGCAGTTAGGCTTACTTTATCTTGATAATATGAAAATTCACCCCACGTTCCACATTTCCCAGGTCAAACCGGTTTCCACTAGCCCGTTGTCCCCTCTGTCCTTGCCTCCTCCACCCGCCCGGATCATTGATAATCATCTCGCCTTTGAAGTCCGCTGCCTGGTGGACGTGAGGCGTCGGGGTCGGGGCATGCAGTATTTGGTTGATTGGGAGGGGTATGGTCCTGAGTCACGTTCCTGGGTGCCCCGGTCTTTTGTTTTGGACCCGGATTTGATCACTGCCTTTCATCGGGGGAGGCCCGGTGGGTTGCCGGGAGGGTCCCATTGAGGTGTGGTTACTGTTAGAATGCATTGTTTGTCCACGGTGTTGCCCCTGCATTTTGTTTTGTTCCCTCTTTCAGTGTGGGCTGGGCGCCTCGCTAATTGGTGCACCTGCCTCCCTTACACAGCTGCGAGTCTTCAGCTCATCAGCCACTTGCAGCATAAAAGCCATCCGGAACAGCCACCCGTTGCCAATTCGTCAGTGATCTTTCCTGCCGCACTCGCTTCTGCCAAGCCGTTAACTTCTGCATCCTGCACTCCTTGAATTGGTCACTTTGACTACCATTCAATTCCTGCACCTCGACCTCTCCCTCTCCTGACAAATAAATCCTCCTGGGTTCATTGTGTCTGTGTGTGGTTCCTGTGCTCATTTCTCACGAAGCCTAACGGTATCTTGATGTCGTTAAGTAAAAATGGAATGCGTTGATAAAACAGAGCCCTATCTTAAATTAAGTTGTAATCCAATATGATTAGTGAATCTTGTGTAATATGACACATTTTCTGTTTTTTGCTTTCAGGTTTCGTTAGTGTATTGCAGTTAGTCTTTTGGTAAGTTCAGAACAGTATTCATATGACAGTCACACCTTGGTTTTCGAACGTCTCGGTTCTTGACCAATTCGGTTTTCGACTTTTTTTATGCCTCGGATGACAAACAAATTTCGGTTCTCGAACAAACTGAGCGCACTTGAATGCACCATTTGACTCCTCTTGCCTTCCTTACACGAGGAAGTGACGCTTCCTCGGGTAGACGAGGAAGTGACGCTTCTTCGTGTTGCTTTCCATTGTGAGCAGACGTGTTCAGTAAACATTTTTATTTTAAAACGAGCGAGGTTTCGGTTTTCGAACAATTTCGGTTTTGAACAGCCTTCTAGAATGGATTATGGCCGAAAACCGAGGTTTGACTGTACATAACACCTGTCCACTCATCTTTTACAGTTTTCTTGGTGTCCAATCAGTTTTGGTGAGTATAAAACATGATTTCCACCATTTTTGTTTTTAACAGATTTGGCCTCGAGATGAAGATTGGGTGGCTTGAACTATGCTCTGACATGGTCCTGCAAGTGTTGAATATGGAAATGATTGCAATTAAATTGGAATAGTCTGTGAACTGACCAGTTGCATTGTGTAATTTAACATGGTAAACATGCTTATTTGACACAAGTCGATGATTGTGTGCTTTTGATGAAAGATGTCAGCCAATTCAAATGATTAAAACGGTTCTATTTGTTTTTCTTGTTAACTGCATGTCGCAGGACAACTGCAGTA